CTAAATTGGTCAAGGCAGGTTCTACCTAGTCTTTAATTTGACCTTCCTAGCACGTATTAAAAGCAGTCACACCTTGACTGCACTGGGCTCTTGTGACACATCACTTCCAGAGAATTAGTTAAGAAGGTTCCTCTGTCTCACCTGAAAAAGGGGCTCTGTGCACACGTGTTTGTGTGAACCTGTGAGTTAAGGATTATTTTTTGATGTGAGGAGGGCACACCTGATGTTATCTGCTTTTCAGTGGTCACTCATTTTCCGTTGTCGTAACCCAGCAATAGGTTCCAGCCGTACACACATATTCCTGGATAGTCGGGTTTTCAGCGTTTCTTTTTGTTACTATGATTGCAGGAGGAAAGGCAGGCAGGAAGTTGGGGAAGTGGAGTTAGGAAGGAGTGCTGGGACAAAGCCAAGCTTTAGATGAATACAATCTGACCATCATTTCAGCATCTTTTGACACAGGGGAGTTTTTCTTAGCAGTGGAGCAGAGTAGCACAAAGGCTTTAGGAAAAAGGAGAGGCTGGTGGATGATTTCTTCTGCATTACAACTCTGATATCTCAAGTATTTCACAATGGTTACAAATTAGCAATAAATAACCTCTGAGGAGGGAGGAAAAGGGGAGGAAGATGCATTTTTAATTGCAGTATGCACAAAGAAGTGTAGTTAATGCAGAGAGAAGGACATGGGAGCTGCCCAGTGACTGGAGCTGCAAAGAAGGCAGCTCTTGCCTTAAAGGGTCAGAGAACAGTTACTGTAACAGCAGCTTTGATACTTTTGATTCCATTGGTGATTTCTGTAAATGATTTTTTTTTTTACGTCGTGGAGGCATCGCTTGAGTGTAACTAAACTTGTTTTCCAAAACCTTTGCAGAGAAGGGCAATCCCTCGTGCTGTATTACGGGGGACTAGACACTGAAGAGTGAAGTCAGTAAAAAACTGCCATTGGTTTTAATGGAAATAGGTTTGTGCCCTTTTAATTTAAGCTGCTTCTTGTGGAGCGTGCGTGTGTAGCAGCGTGCAGAGGTCTCTGAGCCACAGGCCAGGTGATTGTTTGACAGCACAGCATAACCCCTGCACCAGCTGGGAGAGAGAACAGTGTGTTCCCTGCACGGGAAGTTATTCATTATTTAGGAGAACGGAGCAGCTAGTTTAGAATTGGAGCCCTTGCCTCCAAAATAAAACTTTCTCCCCGACAGACGTTTTAATTCCTCTATTTCTCTGAGTTCTGATCTGCTTAGACTGGTCACAAAGCTGTACAGGGTGCTGGTAAGGAAGGTGATTTGGAAGAGGCATTTTGTGAATATAGTTTGATAAGAAGAGAGTTTCTTAAGCCACCACTGACTGTCCCAGGCCATCCTCCTGGAAGCAGACAGAACTGCATCAGATAGAGGTGCATGCAGTTTACAGCTCTGGTTTGTGTGTAAGCCCATACTACCCTGACACTGCTTTCTAGAAAAGCCGAAAAAACCTCAGTTCCATGGTGCTCCTTTTTCACTCCAATAAAAGGCAGTGTTCTGAATCAGTGGGATTAACAAGAGTACAGCCCAGCAGTTCCTGAGAAAGCGTTTGTTTTTTTTTTTCAGAGGCAAAGCCCTTTCCAAGGTCCTCCTTCCCAACCCTCCTCCCCTGAACACCCACCTGTGCCCTCCCTGCTGTTGCTCCTGCTGCTGGGCTGTCAGAACCTCTCTCCTAATGAAGCAGTCTGGCCTGAGGCTGCTATTACCTCAGTCCCAGTCCCGCTGAGCGTGACTCCGGCAGCAGGGCTGGTGTTCCCAGGCAGGGAGCACAGAGCTGGGCTGCACCTGGCAAGGAATTGAAGACAAAAAGCAGTGAATCCTGGCTGTTAGACAGTCCTGATGTCCTCTGAGACTGTGGAAGAGGCTGAGGAAGGCGTGAGTGTGGTGGCTCTGTGGTCTCCCTCCCCTGTATTTTGGTAGGCACAGCAACTTGGTAGGGAGAGGGGTTGCTGCTTCTCCTCACTGGTGTGATTTAAGTGTCAGGGAATTCTGTGGAAAGAGAGGGAAGTGGGGAGGGGAGCTGCTAACTTGCAGTCTTAAAAGGCTAAACACCCCAACTTCTTCGGGGGGAACAACAACACAATTCACTGGATACTGGATTCACGGGATACTACACCAGTTGTTAAAGAGCTGGTTTATTCTCTGAAGTGTTTCAGTGTGCAGGACAGAGCTTTGCTGGCATAGTCGGTTGTGGACTGTAAGAAACTCATGCTACAGACCTGCTATGACAAGGGCAGCAAGGCCAGTGCTGTAGGTGCAGCTGTGCTGACAGAACGTTGGATCTTCCTTTAGCTTAGTTCAGGCAGAGGCCCAGTGGTGCCAGAGATGGCACGTGCAGCATCTGTGCTGGATTCCTGCAAAGACAGAAGCTCTGGATCAGTTTGTGAACTCAGGCTGGTCATTTCCCAGGGTGTCTCTCTCCTCCCAGCCTCAACCTGTCTTTCCTGTAAAGGGGCAGGGCCTGCATCTGCAATGAGTTTTTAAAACACAGCTCAAAGAACCTTTGATCTCAGTCAGAAACTCAGAGGTTTACTGAAACACACGTAAACAAGTTACATTTAGGAAGTTTTCCCTTCTTTTCTGGGTTGAATAGTGGAGGAATATCCAGGATAAGTAATTTGTCTGTGAAACTGGTGATAGAATACAGAAGAAAATCTGTCTCCCTTAAGTATAAGACCTGTGCTTGAAGCATTATCTCTACTTGGAAAGCACTTTACAGCACAGGTAACTCTTTGCAGTTGTTGACACATTTGACCTGAGAGACACCGGCTTTGTTTCAATCCAACACTGTCTCTTCAGAGGTGGAGAACTAAACGCTGGAAAACGATCACCATTTACTGTGTTTACTGTGGTAGTGCCTCTGTGAGCAAATTGAGATTCTTGCTTTCACTTCAGTGGGTGCCATGGAAAGACACACAACAGAAAGACAGTGGTGATTCCTCCCCCAGACCTGAGAACCTGTTCCAGTCCCTCGGTGTGGAATCCGCAAAGTGTTCCTGGTTCTCTCTCCAGCCACGTGTGCCTGGGTTTGCTCAGTGCTCTCTGATCTGCTCTCCAGTGGTGAATCTGTTTACACTAATCCTGAAAGCTCTGCTATTGAGAGAGTGGAGCTGAACAACTTCAGACTTCTGCTGTTCTGAACTCAGACATCCAGACACAGCTCTTGCTCTTTATTACAGGCAGGACTTGTTATTAATTTTAGTGCTGATGGGATCAGTCTGAATCTGCGCCTCTTGAACACCCCAAACTTCAGGGAGTTCTGCCAGAACACCTGTATGTGAGGAAGGTGTTCCTGGAGGATGAAGGCCAACCTTGTCCTGCTCTCCTGTGACCACTCCTGGAGGAATCATGGAGACTCACCTTTGGAGAAGGCCGTGGCCAAGCTCTCCCTACACTTGGAGGTGAAGTTGCCATTAGGAGTGGAGGTGAAGAACAGTAACCCTTGTGGCTGTAAAAAAGAAGGCTTTGAGAAAAAATACCTACTCCCCTGTAACAAGTGAAAAGAAATCAGGTCCATGAAGCCAAGTTACAAAGGAGATGGAGTCAAGGGAAGTAGATCTCAAGGCTCTGCAGAGCCCGGTGCAGTTCTAGGTGTGCCAGGCATGAAAGTTTCTGGGTGTGTAAGAGTGAGCAGTTCTCACCTGAGCTCCCTCCAGAATCCTCTCTCACTTCCACAGAGAATATCTGTGTCTCCCAGAGCCTCTTCCAAGCATTTTCCTTGGTTCATTAGGTGATAATAGAAAGTGATTTTCCCCCTGTAATCTTGAGCAATCAGAAGCATTAAGAATAAAAGCCTAAGCCTGAAAGCCTAAATGAGAGGGTTTGATGGCTATGTGTATCTGCCTCCTTCACTGCAGCAAGAAGCAAGGATGGGTCCCAGAGTTTGTGTTTCTCGAGAATAAACAAGCAAGAAACAAGGATCATGGTCAAGTAGTGTCAAGAGATAATTGAGGTTTGGGGCTTAGATTCCATTCCCAGATCTGCTGAACCCCAGAGAGGCAGTTTCTCTGCCTTCACTGGTAGGAAAGCAGTAACTGTGTCCCAAAAGTGGTCCATTAGTGGACTTTTTGTAAAACGAGAGGGTTACCTGTTAGCTGAGAGCTGGGGGGCACAGAAAATAACTCAGGTGGTGGTCCTTCTCCTGGTCTGTGAGTGCTTAGAGATGACCTGGGAGATGGTGCTGAAGTGGCAGGGGCAGTTACTGCTCAGGAACGACCCTGCCAGCTCTGCCAGTGGCTGGTTGGCACACGGCAAATCCATTTCCCACTGTCTGGAAGGCAAGTTCGACTTGCCACCACCTCCCCCTGTAAGCAGGCAACTCATGAGACACAGCTTGGGACCAAGCTGAGAACTTTTTGTTGTTCTGGGAACTCTGAGACAGAGCTCACACAGAACTCTCACTGTTTTGCCACCTAGTAAGACTTGCGGGCCGTATTTCTTGCCCTGCGTTTAAGGGGATAATTTATTTTTATTTCCCTTCTAGGTAGGATTCTTCCTGCCCAGTCGATCCTACTCAGCATCCAAAGGTAGGGAACTCCATCTTGGTGACGTGACAAATCTCTGTAACAACCGCACAACTTAATTTTGGGCCGCGTCGTCCTCTTGGGGCAGCTTCACACGGACCTCGTGCCACGGCATGTGATGGAAAACAAATTTACGCCGTGTCTCCCAAGCCTGGCTCCATCCCTACACGGGAATGAGAAGGATGCAGCCTGCCTTCCCAAGGTACAGCACAACGGGAGGCTGCCAGGGAGAGCGAGCAGCGGGTATTCCTGCACGGGGAGGGCACCCGGGGGTGCAGAGGGATGGGCAGCATGCGGGAGGGTGTCCGTGACCCCTCCGGGGCCGGGGGAGCCCCGGGTCCCCCCCGGGCTGGCGGCAGCCGGCGCTGGCCCCGCCGTCCGTCGCTCACCCCCCTCGCTGCCGCCGGCGCGGCGCTTCCAAAGCGCCTCTGCTGTTTAAATGGGCCAAGTTAGAGAAGCGGCGGCGGCGGCGGCGGAGGGAAATCTTGTTTGGTCAGAGTCTCCGAACTGTGCGGTGACTTCTGAGCACAGATCAATACGTGTCTGTCCCGGCTCGGGGCGGGGGAGGGGGGGGCCCGCCCGGCACAGCGCCGGCTTTTGGGGCTGGGGGCAGCGTTGTGGGGAGCGCAGAGCCGGCGGGGATGTCACCGTAGATGTCTGTGTGTCTGCGCGCGTGTAGAGATCTGTCTGTCTATCTATATGTATATACAGAGAGATACGGAGCGTAACACCACGTTTCTTAAAATCTCGTGCGGGAGTGGGAATTAAATAACCAACTCGCGGGGGATCATAAAAGGCTTCGGTGGGAGCGGGGCGAGTCCGCACCGCGCAGGTGAAGGTGGGCGGCCCCGGGGAAAGTTCGCCGCCGCCGCCCGGGTGTCTGGAGCCCCGCGGGCAGAGCCGGCACCGGCCGGGGCTCCGTCCTCCCGGCGGGCGCCGGCGGGGCGGGGAGGGGTCGCGGGGCGGCGGCGGGGGCGCAGCGTTTAATTTTAATTATTGCATATAAATAAATAAACCAGGTGTCAGTTTAAAGGAAGCGGCGGGGGAGGGAGGGTGAAAGGGGGGCTCTGGGTGGGCGGCGGGGAACCCTCCAGCCTGGTGAGAAGGTGGGTCGATCTAGGGGAATCAATAAGCTTTTTTTTTTTTTTTTTTTTTTTTTAAACCAAAATAATGTCTACGGCAGCAGAGACCTCTCCGAGATGTCAGGTATTAGTCCGGAGGGGCAGATCTGCGAGCCACACAGCAGCTCCCGGGTCTACGGTACATTAGCCTCTCCGTGGGAGAGGGATCCCAGACAGCTCTGCTGGGGAGCCAGCCCAGGAGATTTGTTAGCGGGCTGCTCCGGGGGATACCAGCCACCTCCGGCACCCGAGCGCCAAAGGTGCTTGTGTTGCTGCTGCTGCTGCTGCTGGCGCATTTCATCCAAACTCCAGCCAGAGCGGGGGCAAGTTGAACCGGAGACATTAGAGCCACTGTGCTTTGGAGAGACGAGGGCGCACGGGGAGCGCAGCAGCACCATGCCTGCTATCAAGAAGGAGCGACTTGACAGGGAAGAGATGGCCCTGGCAGCTTTTAACCAGCCCATGGAAACCTTACCTGACTATCTCGCCCCTCTGGCCGCCGCTGCCATTCCGGTGGTCACCCCGCACCCGCCGGCTTACGACCAGATCTTTGCCCACCGCGCGTACCTGGGCTTCCACGAGACCCACCACCCCCACCCGCACCACCCGCACCACCCCCACCACCTCCCCGAGGACCTGATGCTGGAGAGGTTTTCCTCCATCCCGGATTTCCAGCCCTTCTTTGACAACGGAGAGCCTTGCATCGAGGTGGAGTGCGGGGAGAACAAGGCGCTGCTCTACATCAATAAGTTGTGCCAGGGGAGCAAAGGACCCTCTATCCGGTACCGGGGAGAGTGGCTCACCCCCAACGAGTTCCAGTTTGTCAGCGGCAGGGAGACGGCCAAGGACTGGAAGCGCAGCATCAGGCACAAAGGTAAAGGCACCGCTCGGCGTGTGCCGGGGTCCCCGCGCCGCTCCGCTCTTCCTCAGCATCCTCCCTCTCGCCCCCGCGCTCGGGGAGCGGGATCCGAGGGGGAGCTTACCGGCTATTAGCGCCCGCACGGGGAGAGCTGAGCCCTGATCCCCTGCGGCCGTGCCCCCCTCCCCCGCGCACCCCCGGCCCCTCTCCGCCGGATCCCCGCGCCCCGCGACCGGCCAAGTTTTCCGGGGGATTTGGGAATAGTTCCTTTTTTTTTAGGGGTGGGGGGGGGTGGGTGGAGGGTGCGTGAGGAAGGCTGAGTGTTGATTTGGGGGGGGGGGCTCCTCGCTTGCTGGAGAGAAGTTTCATTCCGCGCGGGCGGAGGTTTGAACAGCAGGCGGACCGCGGGCTGCGGGGGCTCTCGGGGGGCTCGGCGCCCCTCGGGGGTGGTCGCCCGCCCCTGCGAGCCCCCGGCGGTGTCGGCGGCGGCGGTGTCGGGCAGAGCCGGCGCCGCGGGGAGCGGCAGCGCAGCCCCGGCCAGGCACCGGCGGGGCGGCGGGCGGGGCGGAGGGGGTGTTCCCCTCGCAGCTGGGTGGTGCGGGACCTCCGCGGCGCCGGCGGCTGCTGACGGGCGCCTGCCCTGCCTCCCTCCCTCCCCTCCCCGCCCGCCCGAGCCGGCGCCGCAGTCCCGGCACCGCGGCGGAGCTGCTGGTGCGGGCGGCAGGTGGAGAGCGGGGCCCCGGCGGAGGAGCGGGGGGCTCCGGGGGGAGCAGCGGGGGCGGGCGGGGAGAGAGCGGAGCCGATGCGGCACGTAATGAGCTCTGAGACCTGGAGGTGTCAGCCCTGGGGGGCTGAGGAGCGATTAGGAGGTGACTGACACCTCGCCTGGGTTATTGATCGCCAGAGCGCCGGGGCATCGCTTCGGGCCGCCGCGCTAATTGCCGGGGCTCCCGTGCGCATCGCTCCCGTTTCTTTTATTACCGGGGCTCCTGCCGCCTTCGGGAAAAGCTCAATTCCTCTGGGGTGAGTCAGGAGGACTGAGGCGCAGTGGACAGAGGAGCAGCGGGGAGGCGCCGCGTGGGCTGCCCCGCTCGCCCGGCCGTGCCCCGGGTGCGTGGGCAGCGCGCAGCCTGCGGGGGCTTGGCCGCGGCTCTGCCGGGCTGTGGGAGCTCCTCCTGCCGCGGCTCTGCCCTGGGTGTGCGGGAGCTCCTCCTGCCGCGGCTCTGCCGGGCTGCGGGAGCGCTGGAACCAAGGACAGGCAGCGGCTGCCGAGGGCTGCGCCGGTGCTTCCTTCCCTCCGCGGGTACCTGCGGGGGAGAAAGTTGGATGAAGCGGCAGGCGGGGGTGGGTGCTGGTAGGCAGGCGAGGGGAGGGGTGTGTATAGGGAAGCAGACGCGTGCACCCCCCCTCCCTATTCCCCCCTTTCCCTCAATACTTTCCTTTTATAAACGTGCTGATCCTTTTTCTTCTTCTTCTGCTTTTTCTTCTCCTCTGCATATAGGGAAAAGTTTGAAGACTCTTATGTCCAAAGGAATCTTACAGGTACATCCTCCAATCTGTGATTGCCCTGGGTGTCGAATTTCGTCTCCAGTGGTAAGATTATTGTTAAACTATGTGCTTTAGCTAAGACATCTTCCCTCTCCTCTGCCTCCTTCTCTTTAAAAAAAAAAAAAAATCCCTTTGCTTCTGTGATCATGAAACCGTGATCTCTGAGGGTCATCGAGTCTGCCAGAGCCCTGCTTGCACTGTGAGGGTTCCTGCAGTCTAGGGAGAGGCGAGCAGGAGAGGAGCTGGGAAGCAGAGCAGATGGGAAGAGCAGTGTTTGACCTAAAGGAAGCAGCACACGGCGTGATTTTTTTGGTTTTCAGGGGGAGCTGTCTGTGCGCAAAGGCAAATCGTTCAGGAGCCTCTTCCTTATTCCCACCCCTTCATTTTTGTGTATTGTGCAGAGGTGTAAAAATGGCTAAATAAAGCGAAAGGGAATTGTAATTGCACCCACGTGTCAGAGTCAGAACAGCCACAGTTTACAAACCATCAGTGAATTTGGTTAGATGAACTTAATGAGGAAAACAAGCTCATCTTAAATGCTTACAACTTGAACAACATTCATGTCACGGGTCACAGTTATGGCTTTTAGAGATCTTTTCTTCCCAGCTTTTGAGTTCCTTGTGTATTCTGCTGTCTTGCCTTTATCCTGAGACTTTCAAAATCTCTCATCAACATTTTCATGGAAAAGATGTTGATGCTATATATAAAAAGCTACTGAAATCATAGTAAAGTAAGGCTTTAAAAAAGTTCATCGTGTATAAAAATAACCATGAAGTACAATAATATCTAACCGTGAGGGCGAAGCTGTTGGTTTGGTGAACTAAAGCAGGTCTTGGTGTGAAAGAACAACACTGTCAGTAGCACTGTGGAAACAGATACAGCTGGAAATTTTCGTACTTTTACTCACTGAAATCAACCTTTTTTTAACATTTTTTTATTGCTTCTTTGGCGTCAGGTCTCTGTCCACAGAGAGTCTCTGTCGTGGTTTGGCACGACAGATAGAATTGTGAGTTTGTATCGTTCCTGGGTAGTATCTCTGTGTATGCATGGTTATATCCACATTCCCATGGGAAGGGGCTCAGAACAATAATCAGAGTCACATAAATTAAATGTGAAGGTGTCTTGCCTGTGTGTTGTGCAGCACCAGGTCCGTCCCACTGCCCATCGGGCTCACAGGGACTGGTTCTGCTGCACCATTGCCGTGGTGCTTTAAACCAGGTGGACTGAAACCTGGCTCTTGTGAGTTCCTCTGGGTTGATGGGGCAAGGTGTGTGCTGGGGTGTGATCAGCTTCCTCCAGCTCAGAGCTTGGCATGTGCTTTAGTTACCAATCCTGTGGATCAGAGCCAACAACTGGCAGACCAAAGGGATGTGCCACAGTTGTGGTGGTGTTGAGAAGTGTCTGGCCAGGTGACACTGTCTGCTGGGCACTTTTTGACTACTAAGTTGCATTAGTTGGTAGCCCAAAGGCCATACTACGCTTTCCTAGCAGCAGCATTTTTAATAGCTGTGCAGGGATCTGTGCATTTCCCGATGGGAAGGCAGCTCTGCATGGAACAAGTGTCTGGTAGACTTTTAGAACTGAATTTGAGAAGTTCAGATAGAGGAAAAAAGAGGTTGGTGTAGTTTTGGGAAAGGAGAAATAAATCTTTCTGGACTTGCCTCCCGCTGCTTCCCCGGCTGGAAGGGGGTTTTGATGTCAGAATTTGCACAGCAAGGCCAAACCCCAGTGAGGACTTTCATCAGAACTCTTTTTTGTCAGTGCTCGCTGCCCTTTCTGTGCTGTAATTAGAACACGTTATCTGACCAAAGGACAGTTCCACATATTGAACCTGAAATATTTCGCTAGTGCCTTGTCGTAGCTACGTGCACCACACATTCCAAACAGTCACACAAGGAGGAGGATTAAAAATCGGGCACAGTTTCCCTTTCCCCATTTAGTGATCACCCAGTCAAGCACCGCTGAGATCAAAGGGCTGATTCTCCTCTAGTGCAGAAATCCTTTATATTTTATAGCGTCGGTCAGTTGAAATTTGCAATGCCTGGTCCTTGTGCTGCTGTGTTATCCCATGGGGGTGTGGAGGTGGGGAGCTGATCCTGCCTGCAGCCGGTTCCACTGATCAGTCCTTGGACAGCGGGAATAGGCCAGGAAAACTCAAGCCCTGCCTTTGGAACGGTGGCAAGCCCAGCTCACCGCAGGCAGCAAAGGGAGCGCTCCAGGGCTGAGCCCGGCTCTTCCTTTGGGAAAGGTGACATCCAGTGCATCCCAGCCAGGCGGGAATAGTAGGGGCTCTTAATCCCCGCATCGATGGCTCAGAGGCCCTGCCTGGCTCTCCGTCTAAGGCTGAGAGGAGAGAGGAGCGGTCTGTCCGTAAAGGGAAACCGCGTCGTGCCCCAACCCCGCGCTGGCAGGAGCCGGAGCCGAGCCGGGCACGGCTCCCCCCGAGGGCTGAGCTGCTCCCCCCGAGGGCTGAGCTCCTCCCCCGCTGCGCGGGGTCCCCGCAGAGCAGCCGAGCGCGGTACCCCCCCCATCCCTCCCCGGGGCTGGCGCCGCGTCCCCCCCTCCCGTGCCCGCGCCCCGGCCGCGGTGCCGGCGGTGCCGGGGGAGCGGCGCCCGCCCCCCACCGCCCCGTCGCAGCTCGTTTGCTGCCGCAGCTGCAGACAGGGGCCGGCGCCGGGCCCCGCTCCGCCACCGACCGCCGGTTTCCTGCGAGGCTCAGGGGAGAGAGGAGGGGGGGGAGAGAGAGCGGCCGCGTCGCGCCGGCCGCCCTGGCGCCTCCTCCCCCCGGGCCGCGGCCGCCCCCGCGCCGGCATCCATCAATCAGCGGGGGGAAGGCGGGGGGAGGGATGCAGGAGGGCCCCGCAGGGTCGCGCCGAGCCGTGGGGGATGCGGGGAGAGCACCCGCGGGAGTGCGGGAGGATGGGGAGGGCATCCCCTGCGCGCTGGGAGGCTGGAAGGGCAGAGGCGTCCTTTGGGTCACACAGCGATGGGGGAAGCGGTGCCTGCCCCTGGGGCTTTGTGCCCCAGCCTCTGCACAGAGGCTTTTCAGGTCAGAAAGGGAAGAACGGCACAGGTCTGGGTCCCTTCAGAGTTGCAGAGGCACAGGAGCGTTCACGCAGTAAGTTGTCAGACGGGGGAGGCGGTGTCTGCCCCTCTGCTTTGTGCCCCGGCCTTGGCACAGAAGGTTTTCAGATCTGGAGGGCAGGAATGGAACAGGTCTGGGTCCCTTCAGTTTTGCAGAAGCACAGGATACCAAACGTTCACAAAGTTGAGTGGTCAGATGTGAACTAGGGGTCTTCCCCCCAAATTTGTGCTTGTCAGTTCTGGGCAGTTTGTCTGTTTGGAGCCCTGGATGGATTCCAGTCTATTCTGGTGAAGCCCATTCCCCCCAGGGTTCCCTCTGCCCCATCGAAGTTTGAATACCACTCGTGCATTCTCTCCATCTCTGCTTTCAACCCACAGCCAGGGCTGGTCTTTAAAGTGACAGTGGGCTTTTATAGCCGGAGGGAGGGGGGAACAGCTCTAAAATGTTTATTGCTAAATGAAAATAACTTAGATTTGTGAAGTCCAGCATTGGATATCTAGGATAGCAGCAGAAAGGCATTTGATTGTTTCCCCCATCAGACTGTGTGCGACCCTTTACTGTGTTTGCATTCTAGTAGTGCTGCCTCTAAAAGTGAGTTAGGACTGACTGGACATTGTCTGCTCCTTATCCTCTTTTCCCATCTGTTCTTGGACAGGGTGTCAGTTTGAAAGGTGGCCCATGTTGAAGTTCAAGGTTCAGGTCACAGGTGAATGAGGGAAGGCCGGGTTCCCCAGAGCTATTGTGACATGGCCCTATTCAAACAAAACAAAAACTACCACAGAGAGATGTTTAGTTTTTGTCCCATCTCCTTCGTCGCATGCTGAGACACATGGTGGTTGTGCATAACTCAGTCACTGACAATGGTAATTCATTTGCTTACTGGGGCAGTGTTTTGCTCTTGGTTTGGTTTATATGTGATTTATTTGCTGCTTTTTTGCTCTTCGTCATCGTCGTTGTTGTTTTCGTTTGATGCCCCGAGGTTAAGGCGTTAGTCCAAGACTTTGTCAGGGATGGAAAAAGTAACTGTCTGCTTACTTCTAATAAAAATGAATGCCAGTAAACAGCTAAATCTCTTGTTATTTAGCTCCAAGGTTTCTGAGCATTCTCCTGTTCCCTGTTTTGGGGTGCAGGGGTGGAAGGCAGCTCTGTGTCACCCCCAACCAGTGGCTTTGTGTCACTCGTGCTGTTTGGTTCTGGCTGCAGCTCTACTCACTGCCCTTCCCCAGGGATGCTGTCCTGGCTGCTCCACAGGTTTCCTGGAGAGCCAGGAGCTGCACAGGGGCAGAGAAGGGAGATCCTTGGGCTACTGAGTTGACCCTGTGTGGTGGGACCCAAATTCAGAGACTGGCCCAAAAGGGGAATCTCTCACGCCGGACATGAGTCTCTCATGAGAACTTTCCTATGAGAAGAGGACTTTGCCTGCTGGAGAACTGAGCTGGCTGCCTGTAGAGTCAAGGATTAATTCTGAAATTTCACTGTTAATGGAACAGATTAGATTTAGGTTCATTTTTGAGCTGCTGTGGGTTTAAGGATTGGAGCTGGAGAACGTTGGGGTTTATGTGAAGGGGACTGTTTTCATAACTTTGCCTTTGTGTCCCGGGGGGCTGCCTTATGAATGTGGAAAAAGCCCCTCTGTAAAGCAGACTTATAAACCTCTTTATCCCCCCAAGGTCTTTGGCACAGTCTGTTGATTTTTATTTGTGGTTTCATGCTGATTTGGCTTGTTGCTTTTAATCCAGCACATTTTAGTTTGGGTTAGTGTTTGTTGGAGGTTTTTGAGTTGGTTGGGCTTTTTTTTTGTTTGTGGGTTTTTTTCCTTCTGTTTTGCTTTTTAATGGACTTGGCTCAGGTGATTTTTAGCGTGTGTGTGCTGCACTGCAGACTTGGGAATTCAACTTGAATTCTCAACAAAAGTTTCTTCAAAATCTGTCGGATTTCACCTTTAGGGAGAAACTGGAGA